TTTATTTTCTCGAGCTGATCTTTGAAATTTTCTGTTCAGCTCTTGGACCTCCTCATTTCTTCCATTTGCTTTAGCATCTCTACGCTGGAGAGCAAGTTTCCATGTCACTTCTGACATCTATTTTGACCTTTTCCTTCTTTCTTGTCTACTCAATGACTTTTTGCTTTCTTCGTGTATGATGTTCTTGATGTCATCCCACAACTCTTCTGGTCTTCGATCTTTATTGTTTAATGTATCAAATCTGTTCTTCAGATGATCCCTAAATTCAGGTGGGATGTATTTTGGCTCTTGTGGACTTGTTTTCATTTTCTTCAGCTTCAGTTTGAATTTGCATATCAGTAATTGATGCACACAGTCTGTTCCACAGTCTGCCCCTGGCCTTGTTTTCACTGATGAGATGGAGCTTTTCCATCGTCTCTTTCTGCAGATGTAGTCAATTTGATTTCTATGTATTCCATCTGATGAGGTCCATGTGTCTATTCATCTGTTATGCTGTCTAAAGAAGGTATTTGAAATGAACAAATCATTGGTTTTGCAGAATTCTGACATGCGTTCGCCAGCATCATTTCTATCACCAAGGCCATATTTGCCAACTACTGATCCTTCTTCTTTGCTCCCAACCTTTGCATTCCAATCACCAGTAATGATCAATACATGTTGATTGCATGTTTGATCAACTTCAGATTGAAGAAGTTGGTAGAATACTTCTATTTCATCCTCACTGGCTTTAGTGGTTGGTGCGTAAATTTGAATAATAGTGGTATAAATGGGGCTTCCCTGTAGGCACATGGATATTATCCTATCACAGACAGTGTTGTACCTCATGACTGATCTGGGTATGTTCTTTTTGATGATGAATGCAACACCATTCCTCTTCAATTTGTCATTCCTGGCGTAGTAAACCATGTGGTTGTCAGATTCAGAATGGCCAATACCAGTCCATTTTATCTCATTAATGCCTAAGATATTGACGTTTATGCGTTCTATTTCATTTTTGACAACTTCCAATTTTCCCAGATTCATACTTCATATATTCCGTGTTCCGAATGTCAATGGATGTTTACAGCTGTTTCTCTTCATTTTGAGTTGTGCCCCATCAGCAAATGAAGGTCCTGCGGGCTTTTCTCCCATGAGCTTTACTCCATTCATGTTATCACGGTCAACTCTACTTTGAAGAGGCAACTCCTCCCCAGTCGCATTTTGAGTGCCTTCCAACCTGAGGGGCTCATTTTCTGACACTATATCTGACAGTGTTTCTCTGCTATTCATAAGGTTTTCAGTGACTAAAGATTCAGAAGTAGTTTGTCACTCTTTCTTCCTAGTCTGTCTTTGTCTGGAAGTTCATCTGAAACCTGTCCACCATGGGTAACCCTGCTGGTATTTAAAATACTGGTGGCATAGATTATAAGAAGTATAAACTAAAAATTATAAAACTTACATGCAATCTACATACCAGAGTCCTGGTGTGGCACTGTGCATTAATGCGCTGGACTGCAAGATCAGTTTGAACTGCAAGGTTGGCTGTTCAAGCTCACCAGCTGCTCCTTAGAAACCCTATATAGGGTTATCACTATGATTCAGAACCGATTGGATGGCACTTAACAACAATAACAAGTATAAATATCAATGAAGATGTGGAAAGATTTTCTCAAAGTGAAGTTACTTAGATTTAAGTGGGAAAATTACAGATTTTTTTTCTAACTTAAAAAGTCCTTAAGTCATTGCTGTTTTGGTTTTAGACTGTATAAAAGCTGTTTTGATACTCTTTTTCATCAGATTAGCCATAGGAGTCAAAGTCTACTTGGGAGAACATATCTCTGTTTTTTATTAAGCATCTAGCAGGGCTCTGGTCTGCTCTGGTTTGTAAAGAGGGTATAGAAAAGTAAAGTTCCTCTTAATTGGGCTTCAGATGTTTGTAAGTACCGGCATGAACCTGAGGGAGAAATCTGAAGTGGAATCGGGTGCTTGTTAACCAGCAGTGGGACCTTGATGTTTTCTGTCATGTGTTTGGAGTCCAGTGAAAGCTATGAACTCTCTTCTTTGAAAATGCTTATCCGCTTGGAAACAACACTTTCACCCAAAATCATTCGATGGGTTCTCCTGCTTGCTGACATAATTAGAAAACTCAAGGTTGACAATTCTCTAGAACCAACAGATCTGTGCTGGACGAAGTGCAGCCAGAGTGCTCCTGGGAGGCTAAGATGGCCAGACTTCGTCTCTCATACTTTGGTCATATTGTCAAGAGGGACCAGTCACTGGAGAGGGATATAATGTTGGCAAGGTAGAGGGTCAGAGAAAAAGAGGAAGACCCCTAGTGAGATGGATTGGCTAAGTGGCATCATCAATGGGGTCAAACGTGGCCACAGTTTTGAGGTCGGCGCAGAACCGAGCAGTGTTTCTTTCTGTTGTACATCAGGTCACTATGAGTCAGTACCAACTCACTGACACCTAACAACAACAAGGTTGACAATAAAGATAGAAACACAGTCACGCATGACTGATGAGAACATCATAGGAAGCCAGAAAACAATGTTGAGCACCAGCCACAGGAAAGGCAGGTAGAAAGGGAACGAACACCTGATGTCATCTGGGCAGGAACCAGCCAGCATCCATCCCTGTGCACTCACCCTGTGTGACCGCTAACGTCTGGTTCTCTATCCTTGCAGCTCACTGATGTGGACTGAAGAGAAAGGTCCTGGCCTAAAACGGAACAGACATTTGAGCTTCCATTTCAAATCTGGATCCCTAGAGAACGTGCCCAATGTCGGAGTCAATAAGGACATTTTTCTGAAAGATCAAAATCTATTTGTCCAAAAACTCTTGGGCCAGTTCTCTGAGGAACAACTGACCGTGGAGAAGAAACGTATCCTGCACTGCCTAGGCCTTGCTGAGGAGATCCGGAAGCGCTGCCGCCCAGAGAAGTAAGAGGGTGCGTGGCATCTCAAGATCTTTGTTCTAAGTAATAAACACATTTCCTTGGGTAAACAGAATGTGCTTATTGTCAAGAGCTCTGTGTGTGTGTTTGTGTGTAAGGGGAAGGATCTAGGGGTGAGTTGTACAGTGGTGACCAGGAAGCAGCAAACCTTGGCCAAGCTGAGCTGCCTCATTCTGCTTTCTTTGGCTTTCCCATACAACCCTACAAGTGCACATTGGTGGTTGGTTCAATGGTAGAATTCTTGCTTTCCAGGTGGGAGACGCAGGTTCGATTCCCGGCCAATGCACCTCATTCATGGACAGCCCTCGCCCATCCGTCAGCAGAGGATTGTGGGTATCTGGGATGTTGAACAGGTTTCATTGGAAGACTAAGGAAGACTATGAAAATTAGCCACTGAGAACCCTGCAGGTCCCAATAGTTTGATTGGAAATTGATCAGGGGAGTGGCACATTGCCATATGGCATTGAGTTCCATTGTGCATGGGGTTACTATGAGGCAGAAGCCAACTTGACGGTAGCTAATAACAACAACAGAGTCCTGGTGTGGCGCTGTGGGTTAATGCTCTGGACTGCAAGGTCAGTGATTCCAGCTCACCAGCAGCTCTTCAGAAACCCTATACAGGGTTGCTATGAGTCAGAAACAACTTGATGGCACTCAATAACAACTGCCTGAAGGAATCAAATGGGGGGGGAAAGGAGTCTAGATGGGGCTCTGCAATTTTCCCAGATTCATGCTACGTGCATTCCATGTTTCGATTATCAATGGATGTTTACAGCTGTTTCTCTTCGTTTTGAGTTGTGCCATGTCAGCAAATGAAGATCCCACGGGCTTTTCTCCATTCGTGTCATCACGGTCAACTCTACTTTGAGGAGACAGCTCTTCCTCAGTCACGTTTTGAGTGCCTTCCAACCTGAGGGTCTCATTTTCGGGCACTACATCTGACAGTGTTTCTCTGCCATTCATAAAGTTTTCAGTGACTAAATATTCGGAAGTAGTTCGTCACTCCTTCTTCCTAGTCTGTCTTCGTCTGGAAGCTCTTCTGAAACCTGTCCACCATGGGTGACCCTGCTGGTATTTAAAATATCAGTGGCATAGCTTTCAGAATCACAGCAACTCACAAGCCACCACAGTACGACAAACTTGACAGACAAGTGGTGAAAATTGGAAGTTGTCAAAAATGAAATGGAACGCATAAACATCTAAATCTTAGGCATTAGTGAGCTGAAGTGAACTGGTATTGGCCATTTTGAATCTGATGACCACATGGTTTACTCTGCCGAAAATGACAAATTGAAGAGGAATGGTGTTGCATTCGTCATCAAAAAGAATCATATCCAGATCAGTCATGAGGTACAACACTGTCTGTGATAGGATAATATCTGAGTCCTGGTGTGGCGCGGTGGGCTAATGCATCAGATTGCAAAGTCGTTTGAACTGCAAGGTCAGTGGTTCAAGCTCACCAGCTGCTCCTTGGAAACCCTATACTAGGTTACTATGGGTTGGAATTGACTCGACGGCACTTCACAACAACAAGGAAAGCCCATTTAATACAACTATTATTCAAACTTATGCACTAACCACTAAAGCCAGTGAGGATGAAATAGAAGAATTCTACCAACTTCTTCAATCTGAAATTGATCAAACATGCAATCA